ATGGTTTTAAAGCTATTTCTTATCCTTTTTTTGGCCTTCAAACGTCTTGAAATGCACATATCAGAGAAATAAAAAATTTGAACCCCCTACCCACCTCAAATTTAGGACCTCTGTGATTATAAAGCCCTGTCTACGGCCCTGTATTAGGCATAAGATCAATAATGAATGTGTACTGTGAATGAATTTAATAAACTTAGTTAGGCTACCTAGCTTTCCTAGTAGCTTTCAGTAAATAAATTCGTCTGAGAAAATGATTCATAAATCAACCTATCAGTTGACCCTATGTTTACTTTCTTCACTGACAGACAAAAATGAAAAGCCTATCAGTCAAAGCTCAACTTTAGGAGTTTTTTTGGCCTTCAAAACATCTTATAATGCACATATAAGATACACATATACTTTAACTTAGTCCTCAGATAGAGGAGGGATGCTGCCAGCTCCGTTAAGGTATTTCTGTCCCTCCCAAACTGCATTGAAATAGTATGTTTCGCAGCCAGAATTAAAAAAATTTCAGGGGGAGAAACCCCCTGACCCCTCCTAACATGATCCATATCACCCGTCAGAAAACAATTGCAACGTCTCAGATTGTGCCCCCCCAGAATTTTGGCTTGCATGACGCCCCTGAAGGCAGCTATAAATTATTAAATATATTCAAGGAAGACAAGATCAATCAAAATTCAGTATGCAAAAGTTGTGAAAATGGAAACCAACCAACCACAATTCATTATGCAAAACAGTGTCATTTTAGTATCATTGAGATACTATTATAGTTTTGTATTAATAGTTTGAATTAGTTATTATTTAATTAAATTTAACATTTATTTAATTTCAAATAACAAAAATGTTCAAATGCTTTTAGTTTTAGTTACCTATCAAAGTTACATGTTCAGTATTCAATGAATATCAATGTGAATATTCATAAATAATGTCAATGGGAGATTAAATCTTAAAACATTACATCTTAAATCCTCTTAAAAAGACTAAAATATACAATACAAAATGAAAGTATAATATAATAAAAAGGTTTTATGTGTAAATACTTATTTTGAATGAAGTAACATGGTGCAGCAGTGGAAAGGTGCATTTAATAGGAAGGCATCCAACATGAAAAATGATCTCTTACAGCATCAGTAGCTGAATGGTGTCTAAAATATTATTTAGTGATCAAGACCTTGGTGATATATGTGGAATGTTAGTTAGTAATGTGCTGCATATTAGTGGTCTCTTTATACGTGTATCATGTACACTTGCATCCAAGGAATTTTGGCTGTGGTTTTACCAGGCATTTAGGAACTTACCCTTTAAAAACTAAGACATGTGCGATCATATTCCACACTTCTTTGAGGACATCTCCTCCCCCTTGGTATCCTGAAAACATAAATCAGAATCTTATCCTTTGATCTAATTACATTTCAATGCAGTACGATCCTCATTTAGTGAAGATGTCAAGTTACGCCATAAAATGATATATTAAAGTCAAGCTAATGCGGCTTTTGAAGTGAAAGGAAAGAAATATGGATTTTACTCATGCACTACCACATGAGTACTATATGAATGATAATCAGCTCATTTAAGTTATTTTTTGTGTTTCTTCTATTTGGATTGCATTTTATGAATGCATTAAATAAGGACGTTAAATGCTTGTAACTAAAGTGAAATGAGTTTAGCTCATTTTCACAACTATTGAAAGTCACTTTGTTTAGTTGGCATGTTAAAGGGATAGTTCCCCTGTAAATGTCAACTCAGACATTATTTACTCAACCTCGTGTTGTTCCAAACCCATATGAACGTCCTTTTTCTGTGAAACACAAAGGGGTGAAGTTTTGATGAATTTTTTTTTTTTTTTTCAAAATGCATGGGGACCAATATTATTAAGCTAGAACGGATAAAACAACACAGTACAAGTAAAAAGTGGTCTATAGCTTGTGTGAGAAAAAGACTGAAATTTAGGTCACTTTTCACTAAAAATGTAGCTTGAAAGCTATGGTCACCATTCGCTTTCATTGTATGGAAAAGAGCAGCTTGGACATTCTTCTAAACATCTCCTTTTGTGTTCTATACCAGAAAGAAACTAATAGAGCTTTCAAAAGACATGAGGATAAATAGATAGGGAAATAATGATGAGAAAAAAAAAAATTTTGTCTTGTAACAGGGATTCAAGATAGAGAGGCAGTGTTTTCTTAAGTGGTCCAATGGCCCACTGGACAAAACCTGTGCATCTTCATCTGATTAATGACTATCCTCTGTCTAATAAACAGTAATTGAATGGTCTACTGCAAAGGGCCTGAAAGCCTGGGAGAGCTGATCGCAGCCCGTTCTATCGTCTGGGGGTTGATTATGGTTGACCTTGTGTGAAGCGCACTTTGAAACAGTGAGTCTAGGCTGGGAAACTGTAGCCAGAGAGCAAAGCAGAAGATAAATGAACAGATATTGTATTGACACGGAAAAAGGAGATCAATAACGTGATCAATATCTATTTGATTTTTATCAGAAAACTCTGTGGAGGAGGAAGACGATTGATCAAACGTGCCAGGGCACATCGGCATATCTAACAATATTAATTAAGAAAAACTGCTTAGGTGACTGATTGCTAAATCAGTCAATATTGTTAAAATCAAAACAAACGATTGCTGCATTCAGATGTGTAGCCTTATTCTTTCTCAGGATGGATTTACTGTAAGCTTTGTACTATAGTAGTTGTCTTAACTTGCTAAATGAGTCCATAAGCATAGTTACAGTATGATGATAAAAGTTAATAGAGGGTATACTATTATGTTGTAAATTATTGTGATTGAATCGAGTCAGAGTTCTTTATTGTCATTTGATCAAATTAAAATATGAAAATGAAAATAAAAGCTCATTCAAAACATTAATAGTATAATACAAAATATAAATAATACAATAACACTGTTGACATCCATAGACACGTTTTCATGTTAATTATAATTACAATTAATATAATTATTTATTTCATAACAGGGACTAAGCTTCTTTTTTTTTTTAAACAGCAACCATATGTAAAATAAAATTGGACAGACAAAACTTACTTCAGCAGATTTATTTGTAAGTGAACTATATAAATACCAACACATTGCATTTTCTAAAATTTACTATAAATAATCTTGATGTCTTCCTGACAGCTTGGCTTTTCTTTTATCTATGGGCTGGGGTTCAGTGTGTGTTAATGCAAATCAAAAATGGCATCATTTCTGTTAAGAAGGCTGTTCTGACTAAAACACTATCATATAATTGAATCTGTTCATCAATAAAAAAGGCGCAACTCTAGTAACAGTAGCAGGGGGAGATATAATTCAAAGGCCCGTCAACGATGAGGTAATATTTATTTTGACGCGCATGACTCATATGTAGTGAATGAAATGTTTTAAGAAGCTTTCAAATATATCATGCTTTCAAGAAGCCTTCTTATTTTACATGCTTTTAAACATCAGAGGGTCTAAAGGATATGGGCACTTTCTCAGCAAAGCAGCACTTTTACATTATGATTGCTTACTTAGCTCAGGTTCCAGCACAACAAGATACTTGTTATGCTTTGTTCTCATGTAAACACAATGCAGCTCCCATTGTAAAATATATCAACTGGATGACAGCGGATTAATACCGTCACCTCAATACGCTACACAGCAGCCTCATAATAACTCATTATCGCAAAATATCTACGCCATAATATACACGTTACTGTCAGATTTTTATGAAATAGATCTCTCCGAGGGTCATAATCAAGCGTTATGATGCAGGATAATAAACACGGCTGGACAGGAAAAGAAGAGCGTGTCGCAGCTATGTGTGCAATGGGAATACAAGCCTTCAGCGTGAGAATATTTATTGGACATTGTTGAGTGCTGGGGAACATGGTTAATGGTTTACATTACGCAGTCCTTCCGAGCAAGAGCAAGATTAGCACTTACATGTCTTTAGTGCCGGCACTGTGAACGGTCATAAAAAGGACCCCTCATCTGCTCTTGTAAATCAAATCATTTTTGAGCGGTGATGATGGTTCTGCCAATTAACTGAGACTGGACTGGTGAGAATTACCACTCACTAATACACATGGTCCATTCCTGAGATCTATAGCCTTCCTCGATTTGGCAATCTCCATACAGGACCAAATGTGATAAGAAATGAATTATTCTATTGATGAGGTCCTTAACAAGGTAATAACCGCACTCCCCAGTCAATAATTATTTCGATAAGAATATCTCTATTATGAAAATGCAGACTACAGCAGAAAGTCACAGCACCAAAACAATACCCGGTGGTGTAATTGCCTTTGTCTGAAATTATAGTTTTCATTAAATGGAATGCTGCATGTTATTGATTGTTTAAATAAGACTCGATATCTTCCTGTTTCAAAGCACGGTGAAATTGCATGGCATTGTAATATTCCAAAGCATTGTTGTGTCTGTTCATCAATGTTATGAGATTCGCACTATAACGAGTCAAGGACTATTGGCCACAGTAACTGCTGTATCTAAATGGACAAATTTGATGGGGTTAGAAGCAAATCACTGCCTCTCTCCTCGTGACCACATCTACTGTGTGAACAGAACGGAGAGTGGAATAAGATAGACTTATGCTGTGTTCCGTTCATAGTCGACGTGGGGTATTTCTACTAAAGCAATAACCCAGCTAACAGGGAATGGTCTCAGAACATTGGCTATTGTTCTGGCAAGATTTTTCTCAAAATTATGAACAAACATTCTTCCAGTAACGTTAACAGAACATTCGTTCAATGTTAACTGGTCTTTAATAATGTTCCACGAGTCATGAGCTCCATACCTTTGGTTCTGGTTGATCTAATGACTCGTCCCTGCACTCTCCATGGCTGTTGAGTTGGAGGTCTCCTTCTGACTCCTTCATACTTAAGGTATGGTCTGAGATCTATTGATGGGCATTGAGTTTAGGTTTACTAAAGTACCTTCTTAGAGACTGGTCAAAGCACAATGAAGAAGACTAAAAGTAAGAATAGGCTGATCTGACATTCAGATCATATGCTGAGAAGGCATCACTATGGTGCAAACTAAATTATCTTTGACCTTATTGGTTTTGGAAGGGTATGACCTTGGTGTAGCAGTTGAATTTGGATGGGTTGGGAAGTTTTTGGCAGGGCTGTCACCACCACTTTCTGGTCAGGGGGTCTTTGTAAGAGTTGTGTTCCTCCTCAACTTCTTTTACTTCCATCTGTGGGAGAAGAAAGTATTCAGCTTTTTTATTGCTGCATCCTAGTTTTGGTATTCAATAAGTACAGTGTATTGTATATTGGTTATCATCCTCACCTGTTCTATGGGAAGATCCACCTTCATATTTTCATCTTCAAGGACTTCAGATGCTATTACTGCTTCCATCATTTTGTTGGTGGCTCTGAAGACACTTTTTTTCTGGAGAGGGCGATAAATCCTGATTACATGCTGATGTTGGATGCATCCATCAGTTGTAAACAACATATGCAACCATATGCACTGTAAAAAATATTTTTTTGAAGTTTGAATAAAACAAAGATTATTGGAGTACATTTTACAAGAAAATACTATATGAGTATTTCTAATAATTTCATGTTTAATTTAAATTTAGTTTAAGTTACTTGTTGTTTCTTAAAAAAAAAAAAAAATAATTATTAGCTGTCCAAGTGAAAATTGTTCAAAACCCTAAACCATTTTTTTCCCTGTATGACAGAAAACATCTATAATCAGAAGATTAGAGACATCAGCAAAAAGCAGGATAAGGTTGATCCATTAGAAAGGACCTTGAGACACTGTTTCCACAACTGAGTTTCACTGTTCGCAGTGCACATAACAAAATGACATTGTAAATGGCCAGGCTCTGTTGGGGCTAACTACAAATCAATTAATGTTTGTTACAAAACGATCAATATCTTCTCTCAAAAAGCAGAAGATTAACACAGACAAAGAAAAAAAACCTGTCTATAGATGGACCGTCTTGTTTCGGCAGACAAGACATGAGGGTTCAAGTGATAAACACTCTTCAGCATTACCCAAAACACTTCGCATCAAATCAAGTTCGTCTGAGCTCAGCACTTCACAAAGCATTTAATGGGCTTTCTCGATCCTGAGATGCAAACTGCATTGGTTGGTGCATTTGACATTCAAAGGTAAGACAATCTTGGCTAATGATAGGCTGACAGCAGATGCACTCCTCCAGTAGGTGATGGGAATGGCATTCGCAGTCATGGCATGTTTGATTACCCCTCTGCAGCGATTGATGTAGTTAAAAGGAGCTTTCTTGTTTTATTTTTTTCGTTTCTGCCATTAGGAATGGCATTATGTGGATCTTCTGCCCCATGAGACACGATCAAGTGTCCAGAGTAGGTATGAGCCTTCATCGAGGGGCTTTTATAAGCATGGCTGCAGACATACCGTCCGAGGCTAATGCGAGATCTGCATGAGTGAGGGAAACTCAACTCCATCACAAGGACTGCTGGCTCGGCTCTTATGAGTAAAGTGATGGCAGCTCCGGAGCGCCTGCAATTATTCACTGAATGACCTCATGGCATGTAAAAGACACAATGCACTTGCTCAGTCAAAGTCTTGTTCATTTCACGCAGTTTACAAAAGTGGCAAATGGATTTTGAATAGAACTAAAAAAAAGTATAAACAACAAATAAGAAAAAATATATATACTTTAAATATATATACCTTTTGGTTAAAAAAAACTACAGTAAAAAATAACATAAAAACATTTAAAATAAGTGTTTTCCACTTTAATATATTTAAAAATGTAATTTATTTAAAAAATATAAATTACTTTAAACATGTTGTATAATTTATTATGCAACACACTCTCACTAAACAAATAAAGGTAGCCAAAAAAAAGTCTCTATATGCAACAGAGTGAGGGAGACTTGGTGAATGAAAGCAAAAGAACAGAAACCAATATAGAGAAAAATTCTGAGAGAATGAGAGAGAGAGATTTCTCATGAATAACTTATGAACATTTTGATTACCTTTCAGAAAAAAAATGGAAACATTTTGTTTTCCCAGCCAGAGCTAACAAGGCACTTGCATACATTTGAAACAAAATGGCCTGATTGAATTGATCTATGATTTAAAGCCCTTTGCAGCATTTGAATCCATGATGAGCTTTAATATTCCTCTCACAGGATGGCATTCTATCCAAGAATGAGAGCGTATTTCCCTAATGTAGGTGGGCTTTAGAGAACAGCCTGTCAATTCAAAGCAATTTGTGGCGCACGCACGCCTGCGCTCGCTGTATTGCGCCGCACACATGCAAGAGTACAAGATCCCTCTTTTTTGCCACTCTCTCTCATTCCCTTAATCATAAATGCATCACAATCACACAGCAGAGATGGTAAAGAGAAAGATGGAGAGAAGGGAGGAGAAAATAACACTTCTAGAAAAACAACAGCCACAGTGCCTATCAGCAATTATGTAAAACGCCTGTATCTGGCGAAGGAAGAGCAGGGAAATGGAACTCCAGGGAGACCGAAGGAAACGACTTGCCACACTCACCCGGCGTAGCGGAGAGATCTGGGATTTTCGAGCCCTGCCCGGGCAGTTTGGCGTAGCCGGCGATGTCCACTCCTGGTTTTGCGAACTAAAGCAATCTTCTTTCAGACCATACATGGCTTTGATTTGATCTGATGCTTAAAGTGTGTCTACAACCCGCTGATAACAAGAAACAACTGTGTTTCGAGCACAGCTCGTTCTTCCTCTTTTACTCTCTTTTTCACATTTTCCATTGACCTCAATTTTTCATGAGCTGATATGCTTTGTAGCTCCCCAGCGACCGGCACGGTATTGAATTCATCTGGTTCCAATACATCCCATGCACAACCTATCAATCACCAGAGAGCACAGCAAACTAATCATTTATTGATGAAACAGGGCAGCCATGAATTTCTAACTGCAATAGTCTTATTTATCAAGCCAGATCAAACAATGAGGATCCAAACAAGCTTTAAAAAAGAGACTTGTGGGGGAATAACTTATTCTTCAGCAGACAGCAGACAGTTATTGATGATGAAAAAAGAAGACTGGGGCACTGGAGACACAGAGAGAGAGAGACAGAACAGTGGGAAGAGGAGTTTAGAGTGATGCTTTGACAGCAGGATGCATGTCTGAATTAATACTCCCACAAAAGGTAATTTTCTTCCAGCAGGCAGTGCATACCGGATCTACCATTGGGAGCAAGGTGAGCCATTTCTGGCACAGTGAGGGAAAGAGAAGGCTTAATACATTTTTCTCCTGCTCTTGCCACTGTTAGTTGGCTCCATAGAGAGGCAGCATGGGGGTACTTCACTGATCTCCGTCTTCCACTGCTACACACTTCGGGCAATGGTGTTTGCAAGCCCACTAACATGGGGCCTGGGGAATAGCTGCATATTTGTTCTACTCACTTGCTTTTTTAAAGCAAACTCTGCCTGACATCCTTTTGAATTTGAACAGCTGTTGGTGGGCAAAGTAGAAATAAAACAACAGCACTGCCAAAAGTTCTGCTGCAATTCAGCAAGTCAGAATTCATTCAGAATTCAAGTTCATCAAGGAAACTTTCAGGATGAACGTGCGGAATTCACAACCTTTGAAAAAAAAAATGATATACACTCAAGAGTTTGTTGTGAAAAATAAGATATAAAACTATATTACTGAAGGTAAGTGAGTTTTTGAAGAGTTCAAGGTCAATTTTCATTTAATCCCAGCTTCAGACAGCCTCCCAACGGACCGTCTGATTCATGTTGAACAAAACTGCCAACACCACTCAAAAACTGGCAGTTCCAATCTGATTGGCTGGATACGCAATTTCACTATTCCGTTGAGATTGACTAGTCCGCCTGGAAACAAAGACATGTTTAGAAGGTGCTGGGTTAATACAATGAGTGCTTTTGCAGAAGAAATTACTGGATTTGCCTGGATGTGATGCCAGGTTTATGCCATCTAATCTTTGGAAAATATACTCAAGAGTTTAGTTTGAAGTACTCAGTGGAAGATAAACCAGATACTCACAAGCAGAACTGTATATTGAGCTTTGTATTTATTTTTAATGGACACAGTTTCAAAGTTTCAAAGTCCAAATACATATTTGGTATCTTTGAAGTTTTTTGTACAGCAGTTTGCAGACTTACAGTGCGGTATAATTTTTTTTGGAATGAATGAGTTTCTATCTATTATTGTGCCATCGATGGTATCTATTTCAGATAAAACCACATCTAAAAAGCATGAAAAAAACTAAATAAACTGTGGTTGGTCACTTTACATGTTGGTCTGACTGACTGTTTTTGCTTTGAAAAACGTGAGACGAGGGCAGTGGAATGGGGAAAAAGGTCTCTAGACGCTTTTGAAAAGTTGAACTGATTTTAACTTGAGCACCGCGTTTTTAGAACGCGTGTCATCCGCGAGACGCTGGCAACGTTTATACGCGTCCATTCAGCGCGTGTTTACATAGAAAACCAATGAAAAAGTAGCGCATTGGAATGGAACAACGCGTTCTGTGTGAACGGAACTAAGTTTGCGATTCTTGACCATTCTTGACCTTCACACGCCATCAAAGTTTTTTAAATTTTCACTTCTCAAGTCATAATCACGAGTTTTTCACATTCAGGTGCTTTGTTGTTGGAAAGAATATGAATCATGGAGGCAGGGCCATAGCTAGCGTATCCAGTGCAGGTTGTGGCGCCCCTAAAATTGTCATCGCCTTTCACTGCACTAGATAGCCATTTTGCAGACAATTCTTGAATTTCGGTCCAATAAATGCAGTATTCAATGTGCACCAAATGGATATTTGTATACGTAAATATACATGACTGTAATGCCAAGAAATCAATGCAGATGTTGTGTTCTCTCCTCCATCTTTAAGGTTTATTGCCCGTCCTTACTCAGAAACTTGATTATCAAAATTATCTCAGAGTTTCCCAGTCATAGATATGACTTGAGAGGCCGATCATGTCCAATTTCTGGCATTTATGATAATTGTGATGCACATGACGGAAGACAGACACAAGTCTGGCTAAAGCCGGTTGCACACTGATTTATAATAGTCCTTTAAGACTGTTGCTTGTCAGACTGTCGACGAACACGTCAAACTAGCGATCAAAGATTCAGATTTTGGCCTAGGAATATTTTAGGTTTCTCAATGTTTGTCTCAGACGGCCAAATCGTGGCCAAAATCGTACAGTGTGAAAGTAAGTGAGATTTAAGTGAGGGCATTTAAAGGTGGAAAGTCTCAGTTCAGTTTGTAAGGTTAAAAGTATATAAAGCCTATTGTACATCTGATAGACAAACAAGACTAATCCAAGGCCCGTCTTAATCATTTTAAACAGGACGACACCAAAACCAGGTGTAAACGGGGTTCAAAACGGTTTGATACATCTGCATGAAAGTATTAGGTATAAAAAGCAAAAAGTCTCAGGTGACCACTTGTGATGGTGGACAGATCTGGGACAGCATCAGATCAGGGACAGATCTACTGATATGGATCTTGATACCAGGCTTACACAAGGCCTAAGAACAGGTTGTAGTTTCCTTTATACTAACTGAATTATGAAAGTAATGGGGGGATGGTCTCTTCAATCCAGAGCGATGTGATAATGACTCTGAAGCCAGGCGTGGAAGACCCCCTGATGTTTCAGCTAAACACTCCCCCTGCCTGAGTAGGACAGGCCTGACAGAGAGCAGCTGGATGGGTGTCTCCACCAATCCCCTCGAGAAAGCAATGTTTCTTCAAAACAGGAAGCCTCCGCAGGGACCGCAGCGGGTCTGACTTGAGCAAGTCATCGGAGATATGAGGAGACAGCTTCGCCCTGCAGTGTCACAGAAAGGGTCTGGGACAGCTTTACTGCCTCTGCATGTCACAGTCACGGATATGTGGCCGCTAGTACCAGGGGGTGTGATCATCTCGGCCGCTGTTGCACTTTTCCACCCATGTCAACTTTGCTGACACCTAGCTCAACATCTGTTAGGCCAGTTGGAGAATAAACACAGAATGCTGTGCTACCGCTTTCATCTGCCGGTGCAGTGCCAGCTCTGTCACATGGAGAAAAAAACCCAACGGAGATTTCTAATAATACACAGGCCCCTCCATGCTGTTTACATGACAATAAAATATAGGCTTAAATATATTGTATCGATTGCTTTAAAGATGAGATAGATTCTTCCGTTGTTCAATTTCATAATCAAAATATTTATGTTGGAATGACATCATAGGATAATGTAAGCAGCCAGACGGATAAAGAAAGGTGTTTTGGTAGAGGTGGTTGATGGAGACCAAAGCTGAGTCTTTGTCTCCCTCATGTGGAAAATACAGGATCTGTAGAGAGGATGCTATGAAGAGGAAATATCATGTTTTGTATTAAAGGAAAGCATGCAGAACTTGCTATGCATTTATGGATTTTTTTTTTTTTTTTTTACATAAACTTTACATGCTTTTTAGTATAAAAAATTTAAACTTTTTCATTTAATATGTATATAATTATGTATATACGCTACCTTTCAATGTTTTAATGTATATTTTGTTCACCAAGGCTGCATTTATTTGACTGATTACAATTTATAATGATAATTTGAGAATTATTGGAACCAGATTAAAAAATAAAATTCAGGATTCTTTCATGAATAGAAAGCTCTAAAGAACAGCATTCATTTGTTTTCTATTTTAATATACATTGTACAATATACATTTAATATACAGTGTCACATTATCCTCCATAAATCATTCTAATATGCTGATCTGGTGCTCCGGTAACATTTATTATTATTATTATTATCAATAGTGAAAACATTTTTTTTGTGGAAACAATGATACCATTCAAACATTTGTGGTAAGATTAAAAAAGAGATATTAATACTTGTATTCATGCATTAAATGCATTAAATTGATCAAAAGTGGGAGAGAAGACATTTATAATGCTACAAAAAAATATATATTTAATAAATGCTTTTATAAATTGAATAAATACATTTAATAAATGTAATCCTGAAAAAAGTATCACCATTTCCACAGAAACATTAAGCAGCAAAACTGTTTTCAGCATTAATAATAATAAATGTTACTTGAGCACCAAATCGGCATATATGAATGATTTCTGAAGGATCACGTGACACTGAAGACTGGAGAAATCATGCTGAAAATTCAGCTTTCACATCACAGGAATAAATTACATTTTAAAATATATTCAAATAGAAAACAGTTATTTTAATTTGTAACATTTCGCAATATTACTGTTTTTACTATATTTTTGATTAAATAAATGCAGCCTTAGGTGAGCGTAAGAGATTTCTTTAAACAAAATAGTAATGTTTCCAAACTTTTGGACAGGTTCTGTATATTTCAATTGTTATTAAAAATGTAAATGTAATATAAAATACAATTATTTACAAACATGCAAACATAAGCCTCTAGATAATCCACCCAAGATCTAAACGTTCTTAAGATCATGAGAAACAAATGAAATAAAATGCATCAAATCATTTATCTGGTAGTGTTTGAATTACCATTACATTCTCTGAAGGGAAAACTAATATGTATTAAATTGTTTGTTTTCCTCTCAACAAATACAGATTACGGGTAAATGTAAACAGATTATGGAACAACACCTTGGAATGTAATGACACTTTGATGAGACTTTGATTGCTATTCCATCTTCATTGTATCAAAGATAATTGGCCACTTTCTTCAAATTATTTCCTCCACTCAATGAAGCTGATGAAGCATGAGAAATCAATTAGACAAGTTCTGTCCCTTCTAACATCAACAGGCAAACAGTTTGCAGTCATTTCTCTTATTCACAATAACCAGATGTCTCAAACTTTACTTTGGAGAGCTCCGGGTCCCAGTCCACTAAGTGTGTATTTTTTCTCCATCACTTATTTGCCAAGTCTGGCTCTTATTGTAGTCTGGACCATCCCAAAGCATCAAGTCAACACACACACTATCACAAAACAATTTATCCTCATTCTGTGGGTACAGGGGAGGGTTTCAGCGCCTTCCCCCGGTGAGGGAGTTCGGCTCTCACTTGATCAAGTAACACAAACTCTGAGCGTTGGGACAGTTTGAAAAAGGAGAGGTGAGAAGAACTCAATACCTCCTACAGACAGTGATTGATGAGGGGAATGTACCCGAACCCAACACAGATCAGCCTGATTGGAGACATTGAGATCCTGTGACGGTAACATTTTTCTCAAGAATCTGATCTTCAGAACTAATGAACAGTGGTCAATTTATATCTGGTCCCAATTGAAATTTTCTCACTAACTGGGTTCAGTCAGAGTGGAAAGAGATGGGTGATCATCAAGATTGGTGTCTTGTAAACTAGTTCAGGACATTAGCTCGGTTCTATATTTAATCTCCATATAACTGTTTGAGACAGCAAATAATGCTAATGTGGAAGTCTACTAATGTGGCAAAACACACACTCGTTTTCCCTGTGTTCATCCCTGCCTTCTGAAGAATGAGCCTATTAGACGCTGACAGGCAAAATCAATGCCAGCGTTTTCATTAGATATTTAAATAATATAACATCACACCCATACTATAGTATGCGTATTTTAGCTATGAAACAGTTTGATAATATCCTTACCAAAGTTCTGTCTTGGTTTCCTTTTTTAGCACTGGAAGAATGCCATTGTTGATCCTAAAAAAAAGGGGGAAATGGTCACTTAGAGAAATAGTTTTTATTAAAAAAAAACGTCTCAGGTTACGACTGTAACCGTAGTTCCCTGAGAAAGGGAACGAGACGATGCGTCACTTGACGCTTTGGGAACGCCCCCAGCGTGCATGCGTCTGAGCATCAATGTCAACTAGTCCAATGGAAAGAATGAGCGTCACGGGCGGGTGACGTCATGACCAGGAAGGGATAAAGGCTCACCCGGTGAAACGCGGCATTAGCTTCAAAAAGTCGAAGCAAGCCGATCACAGGGAAGCAGGAAGTATGGCAGGGTGACGCATCGTCTCGTTCCCTTTCTCAGGGAACTACGGTTACAGTCGTAACCTGAGACGTTCCCTTTCGAGGGAACTCTCGATGCGTCACTTGACGCTTTGGGAACGAGAATACCCAAAACGCCAGAATTCCAAGTACCTGAGTGTCAGTCTGTTGAAATTAAGCACTAAGCACCTGAGAACCTGGGGCAGCATCCAGGTCTAAGCTGTAAAACCTAACGAATGTGAGCGGTGAGGACCAGCCTGCCGCATCACAAACGTCTTGAAGAGAAACTCCAAATAGTAAGGCTTTAGAGGCCGCCATACCCCTCGTAGAATGAGCTCTGACCGCCAAAGGACACGGCAGGTCAGAGTACTCGTATGCAAGTGAAATAGCCTCAACTATCCACTTACTAACCGTCTGTTTAGAAGCAGGAAGACCCTTCTTAGGTGATCCAAAGCAAATAAATAACTGGTCGGACTTCCTCATTGACGATGTCCGATGAACATAAGTATCCAGTGCTCGCACTGGACACAAGAGGTTCAGCCTTTCCTGGTCCGCAGATGTAAAAGGAGGAGGACAGAAAGCCTGCAGCACAATAGGCCTCGGAGTCAAGGTTGGCACCTTAGGGACGTATCCCTGTTTTGGATATAAGAATGCCTTGACCATCCCCGGTGCAAACTCAAGGCAAGTGGGGGAAACCGAAAGGGCCTGAAGGTCTCCAACTCTCTTAAGGGACGAAATAGCTAGCAGAAAGATAGTCTTAAAGGTAAGAAACTTCTCTGAAACCGAATCTAAGGGCTCGAATGGAGCCCTAGACAGGCCTTCTAGTACTAAAGCAAGATCCCAAGCTGGCACCCTAGTGCGAGTTGCAGGCCTTAGCCTCAAAGTGCCACGAAGGAAACGTGTAATCAGGGGGTCTCGACCCAACGATGTACCCCCCACCAGGGCGTGGTAAGCCGCAATGGCCGCCACGTAGACCTTGAGCGTGGAAGGACATAGACCTGACGTAAAGCGCTCCTGCAGGAACTCGAGTACTGTGTTCACAGAACAGTTAACTGGATCCCACTGATGTCGGTGACACCATACAGAAAAAACTCTCCATTTAAGCGCATATAGTTGCCTAGTAGCTGGAGCTCTGGAGCTTAGAATGGTCTCAGCAGCCTCAGCTGAGAGACCACTCTCTATGAGTTGGGCCCCCTCAGAGGCCAAACCCACAGGTTCCAAATTTCTGGTCGAGGGTGAAATATTGTGCCCCCGGCCTGAGACAGAAGGTCTCTCCTGATCGGGATCTCCAAGGGAGGACCGTCTAAGAGATGGATCAGGTCCGCAAACCAGATCCGACTCGGCCAGCGTGGTGCTACTAGCAGTAGGCTTATTCCGTACTGGCGGACTCGTTCCAGAACTCCTGGGAGCAGAGCAACAGGGGGAAATGCGTACAGACGTAGCCTCGGCCACGTCTGCACCATAGCATCCAGCCCCAGGGGGGCTGGGTGAGTAAGGGAGAACCAAAGTGGACAGTGCGTCGTATGCTGAGACGCAAACAGATCCACCTCTGCTTGGCCGTAAAACTCCCAAATTTTCTCCACCGCCTCGGGGTGGAGTCTCCAGTCCCCTGGCCTCAGCTCCTGCCTCGACAGGATGTCTGCCCCAATATTCTGGTCCCCAGGAATATACACTGCCCTCAGGGAGAGTACCTTCCCCAGAGACCACAGGAGGATCTGGTGCGCCAGCTTGCAAAGCGGACGCGACCGCAGACCCCCCTGACGGTTCAGATAAGAGACCACCGATGTGTTGTCTGTACGGACGAGCACATGATGGCCCCTCAGGTCTGGGAGGAATTGCTTCAACGCATTGAAGACGGCCATCATCTCCAGGCAATTTATGTGCCAAGAAAGATGATGACTCCTCCACCGACCCTGAACCGAGCGGCCTTCCATTACCGCTCCCCAGCCGGTGAGGGAAGCATCTGTCGAGATCGTAACTCGATGGCAGAGAGCTCCCAACACCGGACCCTGGGTTAAGAACCAGTGTTTTCTCCATATAACCAAGGCACGAAGGCATCGCCGCGTGATCTTGATCATACGAAGTGGGTTTCCCCTCGGGGAGAACCCTCTGGTCCTGAGCCACCACTGCAAAGGTCTCATGTACAGCAGGCCAAAAGGAATCACGTTGGACGCTGCCGCCAAAAGACCCAACAGTCTCTCGAACTGTTTTACAGTGCGTGACTGGCCTAGCTTTAGCTCTTTGGTGGCTTTCAGGATAGCAGCTACACGAACGGGCGATAGAGTGGCCCGCATCGTCACTGAATCCCATACCACACCAAGGAAAGTGGTTCTCTGTACTGGAGAAAGCACACTTTTCTTGGCATTGAGCCTCAACCCCAACATCTGCATATGAGCGAGAACGACACCTCGGTGCCGAACCGCCAACTGCTCTGATTCCGCTAGAATCAGCCAGTCGTCGATGTAGTTCAGAATACGTATGCCCTGAAGCCTGAGAGGGGCTAGAGCTGCATCCACGCATTTCGTGAACGTGCGGGGTGATAAAGCTAGACCGAAAGGAAGAACCCGATATTGGTATTCTTTGCCCCCGAAAGAAAACCTTAGGAACTTCCTGTGCTGAGGGAGGATGGAGACATGGAAGTAAGCGTCCTTCAGATCTATCGTGACAAACCAGTCCTCGGATCTGATTTGAGTCACGATCTGCTTGAGTGTCAGCATCTTGAACTTGAGTTTCTGTACTGAACGATTTAACAGACGAAGATCTAAAATGGGACGCAACCCTCCATCCTTTTTTGGAACAATGAAATAACGGCTGTAAAAACCCGACTCTCTGTTCCTTTGCTAACAGGGCCTTTACTCTTGCTCCATTACCAGAGCCTGCTCGGGATGCACCACTGTGGGCAGCACCCCGTTGTAACGAGGAGGACGAGAACCAAACTGGATTCTGTATCCTTTCTCTACAATCTGCAGGACCCAACGAGAAATATTCGGCAGAAGCTTCCACGCTGCCAGAAAATTTACTAAGGGAACCAGCCTCTCGAGGCTGGTCTCTGGTGTTATCGAGACAGCTAATTCCGGAGCCTGAAACATAATGGCAGGAACTACCTGAACTGGCCGCTCTAAGGCCCCCCTCAGAGGGCGCGAAACCGATGCTGTGCCGCAGCATAGCATCAGCGACTCGCTGGAGACCGCTGCGCCCTGAAGCACCGAGGGTGGCAGGGTTGGCAGAACGGTCTCGTGAGGACCCCGAAATGGAACGGGCACCGTATAATGAGGTGTACACCGCTCCACTTCGGTCGGGGCTGTCCTCACAGGCCTGATGCATGAACATCAGGACCTTTTTTTTTTTTTTTGAACCGAAGTCTTCTTCGCCTGAAGAACGGTCCTCAGATCCGGCTTCGACTTAGAAGACTTCAGTTGAAAGGGTTGCGTCCGTCTCCAGTCTCTACGTGGAGGTGCACGAGACGCAACACTCTCTTTCTGATGCACACGATATGATGAGCTCGACGGCTGGGGCTGCTCACGCCCAGCAGCCCCAGGGGGCTGGACCCAGCGAGGGATAAACTTTTTAAAAACGTCAGCTTGTTTCTTTGACTCCTGAAATCTCTCGACGACCGCGTGGACTGCGTCGCCGAAGAGACCAGAAGGTTCAAGCGGAGCATCTAATAAAAAAGCTCGATCTTTTTCTTTAATTTCAGACAGATTTAACCATAAATGTCTCTCAGTAGCTACCAAGGCTGCCATAGACCGCCCAATTGCTCTGGCGGTCTCCTTAGTAGCCCTGAGAGAAAGATCGGTAGCCCGACGAAGTTCACGAATATCGTCATGACTGACTCCCTCACTACTATCCAGATCCCCCAGCAGGTCAGCTTGATAAGCCTGGAGCACTGCCATAGTATGCAGACATGCTCCAGCTTGACCTGCTGCCGTATAAGCTTTGCCCACTAACACCGAAGTGGCTTTGAGCGGTCTAGTAGGCAAAGCCGAGGCTTTCAGAGACGATGCGGGACCAGGGGAAAGATAACTGGCTAAATTCTTTCAGCCCTCTTATTCTCGAATAAGTGTTAACTTGAGGGCTGAAAAGACGTGATGAGTAAGGTTTATTCCACGATTTAGATATTTCATTGTGCAAATCGGGAAAAAATGGAAGCCCTCGTGGTGGAGATAATGTGGTGGAAGATAAAAAGCGCTCATCTAATTTGCTTTTAGGACGAGCGCCCTTCTTCTCAGATGGCCATTCAATATTTAATTTCTCTACAGCCCGCGACATAACATCCACCAGCTCATCATATGCTGGGGAAATAAATTGTGAATCTCTTTCCCCCATGTGTGTGCTTTCACTCTCCAAACTCATCGCATCAACCTCCTCGGAGGAAGAGCAATAAAGTAATGGAGGGCTCTCTCCCCGGGCGGAAGAAACCGCAGAGCGTGCTTCCGACACCGGGGGGAGAGCGTTGGATCTCTCGGGTAAGGAAGGAGAAAGAGCCCTCGGACCCGTCTCCAACCCCTCCGAAAGTTCCTTTTGCGATCCCCAGGAATGCAATCTCCGCGCTGCCTCAGCAGACGCGGGTCCTGATCCCTGCGGATCGCGAGCCTGCCCACTCTCTTTATCAAAGAGTGACAGGCGAGAGCGGAGCATGCGAAGCGGTAACATCTCACAATGCTGGCACTCAGCCCCCTCGAAGGCTGAGACCGCATGCTCCACTCCCAAACAAACGACACAAAGCTCGTGTGTGTCCCCACCCGTTAAATAACGCGGGCAGGGAGAAGCACACTGTTTGTACACTTGTTTAGTTTCCATCCTTTTCCGCAACAGACAACAGTAAATAGACAGAGACAAAATGTTACACAGATCGCTTGCTGAGACACAGAAGCTAATGCCGCGTTTCACCGGGTGAGCCTTTATCCCTTCCTGGTCATGACGTCACCCGCCCGTGACGCTCATTCTTTCCATTGGACTAGTTGACATTGATGCTCAGACGCATGCACGCTGGGGGCGTTCCCAAAGCGTCAAGTGACGCATCGAGAGTTCCCTCGAAAGGGAACTGTTATCAGTATACTCATCCTCTTGTTCCAAACCTGTTTGCTTTCTTTTTTTCATGGAAAACAATAAAATATTTTAAAAACCAGAAATCTGTTTTATCATCTCATTTCTGGCATTTTTATTAATTCTATGATTTATTAGTGCAATTTAACAATACATTTTTAATGTTAATTTAATTAACAATTTACAAATATATTAATTTTACTTTACCTCTAGATTCTAGATATATTGACTTTTTTTTCTATTTAATATAACCTACCATTCAAGTTTGGGGTCAGTAAGATTTTTTTTAAAGAATAAAATACTTTTATTCAGCAAAAGTGAGAGTGTTACAAATGATTTCTATTTCAAATAAATCTTGTTCTTTTGAACTTTCTATTCATCAAAGATTAATGAAAAAAATGTCAGTTTCCACACACACACACACACAAAAAAGATATATGAAGAAACACAACTGTTTTCAACATTAATAATAAGAAATGTTTCAATCAGTATTCTAATGATTTCTGAAGGACCATGTGACACTGAAGACTGGAGTAATGATGCTGAAAATTCAAAATGCATTTTAAAATATATTAAAATTGCAATAATATTTCACACAACATTAATCTTTTTACTGTATTTTTGATCAAATAAATGCAGCCTTTGTGAGCAAGTGACTTCTTTCAAAAACAATACAAAATCTTCCCAGCTCCAAACTCAAACAGTATAGCCTCATTTGTTCACATTTCTGCATAGAATCAATCACATGGCTTCAGAAGTTGAATATTTTCCATAGTCGTTCTCCTTTTGTACTCCATGGAAGAAAAAAAAGTCAAACAGGTTATGAACATCAAAAGGTGAGCAAATGATTGCAAATTTAACTACAAAAAAGTGTAATAAAGGGGCATTATACACCTGTCATTGCAATTATCTTGTCTTATAATCTTCCTTACACATCAGTGAGGCTGTGAATTACTCCTTTGCATGGAACCAGATGATAAGGCAAAGACCGGAACCTCTCTGCCCATACAGCAACATGTTCTTCAGCTCATATGCTCCACGTAAAGGCTTCCCATTCAGCATGCACAACCTGAAAGGATTGAAACCGCTCAACATTGTCTTTCATTTTATACATGTACATTTCATGAATGAAGCACATACCTGCGTACAGCTCCAGTGCGAAGGTGAACTTTCTCGGTCACCATGGCCAATACCTTTTCCCACCTGCGTGAAGTTGGCCCCCCACCCAACGCAAAAGGTCGTCAAAATAGTCTCGTTCGTTTGTGCTTCGTTTGTGCTGGTTTGTGCCGGTAAAATTTTCGTTTGTGCTGCGTCGGGTTTTAAAATATTAGACATTAAATCATTGTTGATGACGTCACCAGCCCCCCACATGATCCAAATTCACCCAAAATAGTCTCGTTCGTTTACCCCGCTGGCAAGCGTGTGTTTTGGAATCAGCACCCATGATGGAGGAACCAAGATATCTCCATTGGTAAAAACACTACAAAATAAAACCAAAATTGGAACTCGCTCCACACATTTGTGCTTCACTGATAATTAACAACATTTGAGAAAATGAGATGCCATTAGACATAAATAATTAAATAAAGCAGAGAACATTGGTCTGATTTTATACCATTAGACAGTATTATAGACCGTTTTAAAGAATTAGACTTTGCCGTAGCCTGAGGGTTTGCCATTGAAGACTTCCAATAGGGACACATTAAAAGCAGGGCTCACTTGATGGTGCACGACTCATTACTGATTCTCTTCCATCGAGCTGGGACAATTATTCTGCTGTGAACTACAGGTTGGATCTGCAGTGGAGACAAATGAACAGGACCCCGCTGAGCATCGCTGACAATAACTGTTCCACTACTCATTTAGGGCACTTACACATCTGGTTTTCTTCAATTAAATGCTATGCTGGTTGTTGTGCAGACGGAAACAAGGAGCTAAAAGGGTGACAGACAGTGACATATAGTGCCATAACCTCAAGCAAAGTCACTCTAAGTGGGTATTTTTATGATTATTGCTCTATTATGGTCCACTGCATTTGGTCTCTGAGGAAGGTTGTAAAAACTATTAGCTTAATAAGTCACTTCAAATTGTCCAAACTTTGAATAGCACCAAGCCTGCGTCTTCTTACATACCCTATACAAAACGCTTTTATGCTTGGGGTCACAGAGACCTCAGTGATGAACATGTAAAAATCATCCATTTGGATTATAAATTAATCAAATCAATGTTATGTATATTTGTCAGTCATATATAAAAGAAACAGGGCAGATTTCTGCACTCAAAAAAATCATGGCATAGTTTATTATTAACTATTTCCATCTATTTGATTTTACTTAAATAATCATATTTTAAAATGGATTTATTTAAATAGCTTAAAATCAGTATAAAACAGTCTATAGTGGCCATTTACACGACATCATGTAAAACTTTATATGCATTTTAGCCGTTCATTTACATGACAACGCCGTTTTGGGGGCTTGAAAACGCAAACATTTGAAAAAGGGTTTCAAAGTGCTAGTTTTAAAAAGCTATACAATTATTGTCTGTGAACTACAAAAATGCTAATTTGTGAAAACGGTGACGTCATGCACATACATGAGACGCGAGAAAGGGAAAAGAGGATGCACAAATAAGAAAAGAGAAGCACCCCATGTGTTCAGTCTATAGGCGCGTGGTTTCTTTACAAAGTGACATCGCCAACTACTGGCCTGGCAGCAGAATACAGCGTTTTTAGTCGTTTTCGTGGATTTGTGTGAATGGGGATCGTTTTGACAATGTTGTTGACTGTATTTGAAAAATACAAAGGAAAAACTTTGACATTTTTAGTACATCGGTGTCGTGTAAACACCCTAAAATTTAAAAACGTTTTATTTGGTTTGTTTGTTCATGTAAAGGACAACGGTATTTTGGGGGCCTAAAAACGCAAACTTAGTCATTTTCGCGGATCCGTGTGAACTGGGATTGTTTGGACAATGTTCTCATCTGTACACGAAAAACGCAAAGGAAAAACGTTCCCGTTTTTAGTACATTGATTTCGTGTAAACGTAGGCTACCCTTAGATAACAATACTATTTTGGTATAGTGGTGCATATATGCTACTGTTTATTATAGTACACCTTCCTGCAGTTTTGCTCCAACTTCAATGAAAAGCACCTGAACCAGGTTTGTATGAAAATTACAAACAGGTGTATGAGCAAAAGTGGAAATGAAAATTGCAGGAAGATAGAACTCCAGAGCAGGTCTGAGCACACTTGTGCTAAATTGTGGCATTGGTAATTATCCAACAGATAAATTGTTCAACAGCTGTAACCACTTTTCATTAATACATAATATAAATAGTCACTGCGTTTAGAATAGGAGTAGGCTATAGGAGTGAAAAGAACAATTTGTTTATTTACTTTAAAAAAACACGTGAGGCACATGTATTGACCGAATAAAGATTGTAAGCAAAGAGTAAAGAAAGATAGCTTGTAGAAAAGGGAAGAAGGACGCATTTTGGAATATGACATTACTGTATTAGAAAATGAAAGGAAATCAGAGGGGAGAGCTTAAGTAGCACAAATCATTTGCAAAGAACATGTAGTGAATGTTGACTAAATCATTTTCTAAAATAATTTTATGAGCAGTAAGTAAATTAAACCTGCCCCACACATAGGCTTCCTGATAGTTTAAAATGGAGTGAAACAGCTGACTCAAATGGAGATATCAATACACATTCACTTTATGGTTTTCAGCAACAAGAGGCATGAAATCAGTCATCCATACAGTCTGGAGAAACCTTGCGGTGATATTCTGTCGGAGAGATTCAGCAGAGTCAATAATGATGTAGGATGTGGAACAGCAGTAATGATCATACTGCAAAAATGTTATGATTTGCCTCAGATATGCTTTCCCTTTACAGTTCTGATATATTTACTCAGACAAACTCACTGAAAAAAAAAATGATTTAGATTATATTTCAAATATCAAATATAGTATGATAAAATGCTATGAACACTGTAGCTTCAAGACTCTTACCGGTTCACTTTTCTTTTTTGACGGTTTCTGTGGTATGTGATGAAAGCTATAAAAGAATAAAGGAGAGAGAAAGTATATAGTTAACATAATAAAAAACACATTAAATTGTTGATATAAATATAACAAGTACTTAAAAAGTATATTATTTTCACGCTTTGAAATGTAAATTTCATAACAAAGTAAATACATTAAGGCACTATATAGTACACGGTATTATAGGCCAGGTCAAAATTAGCACAAAATACACAAGGAAGGACATCTGATAGAAAAAAAGTTCATCCATTTAGAAACTAAAATAAGTTACTAAAATAAGCATTATATTTCCAGGTTTAAGCTGTTGTAAATTTTATGTTTGTCGATATGAGGAACTGTTAATCTTTTCCCTGTACAATGGGAAAGCTTCATGAGGATTGCAATCAATCACATGCTTTATTGAAAACAATAACCTTATGCAAGGTTTCATTGGAAGTTATGTGTACCCGAAACATGCATAAACCCAAACTAGGGCCAAGTCGGCCTGTCATGACTTTTGATTTGGCCCGCCGTATGACTAAGATAAAAAAAATAAGCTTATTGGCATATGTTAAGCCTATGTCTTAATTTAGTCTCTCTCTCTATTTATATAAATCTAAAACTCATCTGAAGTGACCAGTTTTTGATTCAAAACCAAATTTTCGCTGAAAGATGATGCTTCTCTGTTGGAAAAGACCGTATACTGTAAACCCTGAATTAAACTGCTAAAATTATAATTTAATTAATAATTTAATGACAATTTATTGTCATATTAACATATTAGCCTACAGATTCAAAACCTAAAAGTAATTTAACCCCAAACCACATCAGTTTACTTACTCTAATATTTGAGGTACCTTATTCTATAATAACTGCAGCATTACCATGTGAATAAGTGAACTTACTCCAGTTGTTTCAGTCTCTCTGCTCCGGCTGCCACATACAAATCTCTCTCCGTGCACCAGCTGCTCCAGATCCAGCACCCTGTGACCCTTGTTAGGGGTGTAAATGTTTCGCACTGCCCAAAATGGAGCTGTGATGCCTCGAGTGACAGTGTTCAGAAAGCTGTCAAAAGTGAATGATTGGCGTTGATTGATGACAAAACTTCGGCCGGGGGTAAAAAGCATCTCCGTTCCGGAACACAGTAACCGTTTTGGTTTGCGGAAGCTGTGAATAAAACCCCCGACCAGACATTATGAACCAAACCAATCCTGCTGTAACCCACGAGGAGGTGCTGAAAACAAAATAAGCACTTAAAATAGGAGGATTTTTTTTTTTTTCGTGTTCTTGAGTCAGCTAGATGTTGTTTTGACGACATTTAGAAAATGCCAAAACGCAAGAAATGGCAAGTATTGGCCCCTCAATTCCCTTTCAAACTAAAAGGAATCGCCATAACTGTTTCTTTTTCCTTTGTTGACTCTTTAAAAAAAATGTTAGTTGAGTCTGTGCGGAGGTAACCATAGACAGTAAAAGAAATGGACAGAGCGATCTCATTGGAACTCAGTTGAGACAGTTGAAGCCCACTTTTAGCGATTTTTGAGAACTTCCGTTCCTGACGCGCAGACTCAGACCGACTCAAACTAAGCTTGATGACGTGAGCAACCTGTCTGACAGACGTTAATCTTCTAGTAGCTGTGCGTGAAAATTGCCAACGTTAATCTTGCAGAGACGGGGAACTTGAGCAAAGAGTCCTTTATCGTGAGTGAGCAGGACTAAGTATTCCGTTGCTTTTATGGACTCATTATCTATGGGCTTCTCTCTTGACGGGACGTCCCCCCGATTGCCTGCGAGCTTCTCCTCCTGTCTGTACGGTAATTTCTGTACAGCGCGACAGAGAGTCGAGTGGTTATGACGCAATCGTTAGCCTATTTTTACTAAAACTGTTTCTACGGGGCCATAATGTAACATAGAAGGTAATGGAGTCATTTATACATTGTCGTGTTTCTTTAGAAATAAATAATGGACAAATGGAGTCTTTAAACGCCTCAGATGTAAAGTTATTCGCTGTCAAAGTGACGCCAAAATGAATGGGAGTCAATGGAAATGCTAACGCAAGTGAAGTTCTGCTACAAGATGGCGGTACCCGGCCGGCTTCAACTTCCGGTCGATGGATTACCCCCTTGGAGGTAACTGAAGATTTAACGGCGGCGGTCAGCCATAACCTAAACCTTACAACCACCAAACACTTGATTAAATTTTAATCAGCATATTACTTGCATAGCAGGACATCTTTTCAAAAATATCAGTTTCATCTATAGGTGTCAACCAGATTGTTCCTGTTTTGGTGGGTTAATAACCTATTTAAATTAATTTTATTTGTTTTTTCAATAGAATAGAATGTCTCAAAAATCATGTTTATAGCTCCTATTATTTTTCTGCAGTGTTTTCCCCCTCACAAGAACATTATACAATGTAATATCAGTGACAATAAGTGTGTGTGGGGGGATTACCTGCTACTAGCCGCCTAACCTATTCATGTTTTTTTTGGGGGAATCATGAATATTTGGACATCCTCTTCATCCTCTGATCTTTGACCTTTTTAAGTAGCCTACTTTCACCTTTTGAAAATGCTATTAGCGTGTGATACATGTATCCCCTGTGATCTTTGTTCAATAAAAAAAATGCTATTAGCAAAATGACCATGCCATAGTGGTTGCAATGGCATGAAATAAATTGACACTTTTTTTATTATCCTGATGAAAGGGACAAACATTTCATAGGTATCTGGGAAATTAAAGTAAATAATAATATAATTAAAGCTAAACCAGTTCATATTATTTATTAAAACGTTAGGTTAGAATTTGTATAGGGTTTCTTTTATTTTTATATTTTTTTAAACAATCTTTTACTGAAATGACAAGGGAATTCATACAGGGTGACAACATGAGGGTGAGTAAATGATGACCGAATTGATGACAGAAATGATGATATATTTGTGTGAACTATCTCTTTAAGAATGACTCCCATTTGTCTTTTTTTTTTTTACAGTCTATGGTCACAAACAATATATAGTTTAGCAGAATATTTTCCTTGTGCCATTGTCTGTTTGGTCTGACAGGCAGTGAGTGTAATATAACAGATCAGTTTACACAAGCATATCGCCTGATTATGTTTGTAAAGTTCATTCTAAAGACCTGTTATGAAATTCCAGCACCCTCCATCTTTAAATATTCATGGCGGGGGAGGGGGGAATGGTAGCCTATACAGTTTGCCACTTTGCCACAAATTAATCAGATTTCCTGCCTTCTGTTATATTTTCATGCATAGTTAATTCCAGGACAGCATGACCTTGTTACTGGCAGCACACACAGTTAAGTGCAGAACGGCAATGAGAGTGTGTAGAGCCAGACGAGACCACTAGAGAGCGCCCGAATACAACTCTATCAAAATAACTGCACAGTGTCAAGAGAAACAGGAAAGCTTAAAAGGAGAAATGGAACTTTATTAGTGCCTCAGAAAAACACACATAGTCAAAAATGACTACTGGACAAAGAATGAATTAGGGAAAAAAATGTTGTTCGTCATATACAGATAAAAGTGTGTATTTATTGTTTATTTACTAAAACAACAGACACATAAAATATATGCCTTATAATGAATCCCTAATGTATCTATTATGTTTTAGAAATAACTTACCATATTAATTAAGATTACACAGATTTAGTAGGACTAGGAGCAGTAAAAAATAAAAAAAATCTCAAGAAACTAAACAATGTTACTGATTATGATATAATATCATAATTAAAGCAGTATGGGGAAGTTGACAAGAAGATTATGATATAATGATATCATATACTGATTATGATATAATATCATAATTAAAGCAGTATGGGGAAGTTGACAAGAAGTATGGACATAAACTTTATCATTACTATATCTGTATATTCTTCCATTAATAATTTTTTTTAAAAATTAAATTCATCAAGAGGGAGGACACAAAAGGATTTCTTTAGTTCTAACATAATTTCAGGGGACGTTTAATACCACTTTAACACAAAGCAAATAATGTTAAAGATATAATTCAGCTTAATATGATAGGTCGTTTGTGATGGTGATATTTTTTTATTTCTTAAATAAAATAAGAAATGGTGATCTGGAAATTGGTTATGGAATCTAAAATTGTAAATATAATAAGATAAAGAAAGTTTTGTTTGTCCATTTAATTGATTACATTCATAATTGAATGTAGTTTAGTAAACTAGATGTCCCACTATCATAATAAAGTTGTCCGAGTCTGCAATAACACCTGGAAAATAGTAATTTGTTTATTGATCTGTATAATGTATATACCTGTTGTGTGACAAATACATTTAAAAAGTAAAAAAATACCAGATAGTCTCTTAGTTGCGTTTTTTAAAAGGCATGTATTGTTCACCGCTTTGAGGTCATTCATTCATTCTTTTTCTTTATCTTTTTTTTTTTTTTTTTACGAAATGAATACTTTTATTCAGCAAGGACATTAAATTGATCAAATGTGACAGTAAAGACATTTTACAATGTTATAAAAGATATCTATTTCAAATAAATGCTGTTCTTTTAAAGGTTATATTCATCCATTATATTCATTCAACTGGTTTCAACAATGATAATAATAAGGAATGTTTTTTGAGCAGCATATTAGAATGATTTCTGAAGGAGCATGTGACACTGAAGACTGGAGTAATGATGCTGAAAATTCAGCTTTGCCATCACAGGAAAAAAAAAATACTTTTCTGTAATATTATTTCTGTTTTTACTGTTTGACCTTGGTGAGCATAAGAGGCTTCTTTCAAAAACATTCCAAATTCTTACCCAACCCCAAACTATGTGTATAACCACATTAACTAAAGGTCATTAACACTTTATTTTGACATTCTACAAACTATAAGTAACTTTGCAACTACCTCTCATTAGAGTATTGACTGTCTCCATAATTTACATATATATTTATGCATTTGGCAGACGCTTTTATCCAAAGCATTGCATTTCAAGGTACACATTTTGCATTCTTATCAGTTCTTGCTTTACCTGGGAATCAAACCCATGACCTTAGCGTTGCAAGCGCCAATGCTCTACTGTTTGAGCTACAGGAAAGCTCCCAACAGACATCTTACATGTCTACATGGCAGCTTATTCTGCTAACATGAACCCTAACACCTAACTCTAACCTACTAACACTGTGATGAGAGTTGACATGGAGTTGCAAAGTTACTTATAGTTAGTAGAATGTCTAAAGTGGACCATTGAGATAAAGTATAAACTATCTGGATGTTGTTTTAAACAGTTTTACATCAAATATAGCATGTCACACTGCTGTGACTGCTTAAAATGTTACATGAAAAATGAGAAAAGCTATAAATGCTGAACCTTTTTCATTGAAATTTCAGCCTTCTTTGAAACACTTCTAATTGACTTTCCGCCCAATAGATGCTCCATTAAGTCATACTGTGTCCTTGTCAAACTCACACACAAAGTACATGGTGAGGTGACAAGCTACATCAATCCACTCGCCTGAAGACACCATCTCGACGCAGTCCTCGTCATCGTAAGCGTTGTTTGGCTCGCCCTCCCTCCACTTGCTGAAAGTGGTCATGGGTGAACGCTCTACATACACAAAGTGACCTTCTCGCTCCAGGTCGTTGATGCCGATATACACTCGACTGAGGCCAGCTTCGGTGACGTAGCCAGCGATGACTCTGTTAGACGCCTCATCCTTGGGCATGGCCAGGTGTCCACCTCGACCCTGACAAAACACCTCCGCATCCCTGGAGCGCTTTTCCTCTTTCACCAGCAGATAGACCTTGCTGTCTGTCTCTTTGATGCCAGCGACAGCTGCAGGGGAGGGCAGTGCTGAAAAATGAGGATCTGAAATTCTATAATCACACCGCAGCAGCCAGCATTCACACAAGTGCATTCTGACAGTCAAACAAAAGAGCTTCTGGCGAATGGCTAAATACTTTTGTCTAGGTGTATTCACCCTGCACATCAAAACGAACAACTGTATGAATCAACTTCGCGCTATTGTAATCTCACGAACGTTGGTTGAGAGAGCAAACGGTTCATTCTTTCTTTTGGACATACCATTTTTAATGAACTTCAGCTCACTGGTTAATTGCGCCACTTGAATATCCATTTCACCAATCATTTTCCGTAAGGGTGCACACTCACAGGGGACACCTGGGGAGACAAATTAAATATGAGACCATTCACACAAGCTCTCCAAGCATTAAACCGATTCCTATTGAATTCAAACCAATTATAAACTGGTATGAACTTAATACTATTTTAGCAACGGTTACCTGGCTCTCCATTTGGGCCCTTCGGTCCTGGATCTCCCATATCACCTTTTAAACCTAGAAAAATTATTAAGCAGTTAGACCAAACAAGTAATCAGGCTACTTTCAGATTTGTAGTTTTTTCACAAGCTTGCCTTTGAGTCCAGAGGGACCCATCTTCCCATAATGTCCAGGACTACCTTTTTGGCCTTTGACTCCAGGGAGACCTGAAAAATAACATATAAACTTAATATGTACAAAAATAAAACGCATGGATACGAACCAAAGAATTTAGTAACTCCCTTTAGTTTGATAAAGGGGTTTTGATGCCCTTGTTTATCAGTATGTTGAATCTTTAAAGGCATTTATAAACACAAGTCATGATCCTGGCTCACATGAGCTCAACTATCTAAAAGCAAGATAAGGGAAGTTTTAGGGGCTCCTTAAAGTGTACACATTTGGCAGCTCCCCTTTTTGGTCACTTGGTTTGAAAATTTTGCAATTTCTTTTACCATCAAAAACTTCCTTACAAGTTCATATAGAACTTGAATCATGTAAGTGGATAGTAATTAAAAAGCATGTTATTGAATTCGATGAACCTCTCAAAACAGTTTAGTATTACCTGGCTCTCCAGATGGCCCTAATCTCCCAGGTCTCCCAGGTGCTCCTTTCTCTCCTTTCTCTCCTGCTTCACCTACATGACAACAGGAACATTTTGAACAGTAATAGACAAACCTGTGCAGAATAGCATATATTTGCACTGTTGTTGCAGTCGTATGTATACTGTGCACAGCATGCACATTTTCTGTATGCACTGAATAGGCTACCATTATGACCTACATACTTAATATGTACAAATATACTGTATCCAAGAGTTTAATCCACACAATTTGACCTTCCATGTCCAGTCTAATGAATATAGATTGCCAAGAGTTAATGGTGCGTTCAAGTCCTCCTGGGAAGTTCGTACGTACGAGTTGGGAAGTCGTGTTTACGACGGCAGGAGCGTTCAAGTCACTTTTGCCGGGATAAGATGGCGGTGTACTTTCTCTTAATTAATTACACAAAAATACAGCAAAGTTCTTAAACTCTAGTTCTAGAAAATGGAGAACAAAGAAATGTGCATCAGGTGTGCTTTGCTTTTTTATGTTTTTAATTCATTTATTAAGCCACTGCAAACTTTATCGGTACATATTACATTGTTATACTATAATGCCATCATATGCTGTGCAGGCAATTAGCTTACTATGCTGTAAATAGAAAAGCCTGACAATATCACTGCTATATCCCTTTAAGTATTGTGGTATTCCGCCATGTTTCTCACTGACACGCCCCAAACTCGTAAAGATCGGGGCTTAAAGAAAATCCCGAGCTTCCCACTCGTATTTACGACATTGTGGTGGCGTTCATGTGCGTTCATGTGCTATGGAAAATATGATATTTTCCAATTGTGAACTGGTATTTACCAGTGTGTTGCGTTCAAGTGCTTTTGTTGTCGTAATGTGGTAAAAAGATGGAGATCCAGACCTGTTATTTAGCTAAAACTATTTTAGATTGCTTAAGTCGGTCTGCTACAGCAAGAAAATGATTTATCAAAACTCAAAAGGTAAATAATATGCTGTATATTTTCTAGATCATGAATAGTAGCCTACATATTTTTACCATTCACGACTCTCGCGTTGCTCTCCGCCATTTTGAAAAGGTCAAAGGTGATCTCATCTCGGCAACTCGTGCATCAAAATATTCTACGAGTTGCCCAGTGGAAAATACCACATGAGTGGGTGTTCATGTGCATTTTTCACGTCGGCTTTTGGTATTTACCATAATTACCATAGCACGTGAACGCACCATTATTAGAGATGACTTGAACTAAATAAGTCATTTTCATACAAAATTCTAATTATAAATATATACCAGTAAAACGAAATTCTTTTGAAAGAAAGAAATTTTATTCAGCAAGGATGCATTAAATGGGTCAAAAGTGACAGTAAAACCATATAATGTTAAAAAAATGTTCTACTTTCTATTCGTCAAAAAATCCTAAAAAAAAATGAATTCCAAAAACATTAAGCATCAGAACTGTTTTCAACATTAATAATAATAAGAAATATTTCTTGAGCAGAAAATCAGCATATTAGAATGATTTCTGAAGGATCATGTGACACTGAAGACTGGAGTAATGATGCTGAAAATTCAGCTTTGCCATCACAGGAATAAATTACATTTTAAAATATATTTAAACAGTGAAGTTATTTTGGTAACACTCTATTTTGATGGTCCCTTCTGATCATTCTGTTAACTATAGGTAACTTTGCAACAAATAACTCTCATTAGTAGACTGTCTGCTTAATATCTGCTAACTCTTTATTGTGATGCTCCTCCAACAGACATTCTACTGACTATAAGTACAACTACATGTCAACTTATTCTAACCCTAATCCTACCAGTCTACTAATACTCTAATGAGAGTTAGTAGACATGTACTGTAGGTGCAATGCTACAATGTATCAAAATAAAGTGAAACCTTCATTTTAAATTGCAATAATATTTCACATTTTACTGTTTTTACTGTATATATGATCCAATAAATGTATTACATTGATTAAATTAGTTAGTGTCATTAGTGTAGATGGCATAATGTGGTGTAATTTATTTGTAGTACCTTTGAGTCCAGGGACAAGGATCTGGACTGAGCATGGTTCTTCTGGCATGTGCTGACCATAAACTGACCTCATTAGTGTCAAACTTAACATGCAAGCCACCAGCTTCTCTCCACCCATACTGAAAACAGAACATTCATGTTCGTCTACAGTCAAATACCAACACAAACTTCAATGCCATGTTGATTGGAAAATGTAGAAGCAGATTATTGTATTCACAAAGGCTTCAGTGCTCAAAAAATGGAACAAGTGGGATTCAATAACAGAAGATGTCTCCACAGTCAATTAATCTCGTGACATACAAGCTACTATAGTCATACCAACAGCATTTGCAAAGCAAATACACAAAAGAGCACAAAAAAATTGTTTTTCCCCCCAAACTATCTCACCGGCCACCTTCATTTCAAAGTCGACACTAGAGAGTAAACAGTCACACCAAGACGTCTCCTGTAACTACCAACTTTAACATCTGAGTTGTCTCGTTGTTGTATACCACCTGCAGGACAACGTATTGCTTATGAAACGGACTTACCTTGTGTTGAATTTCAAAGCCCACTATATAATATGCAGCAGTCCCAGCCAGTATATGGATCCAAGTGAGTTAATGGAGGTTTGCTCACTGGTGGTCTCTCTGAAATTTCTCATCACACACCCTGCAAGAAACAGGCCTGAGAGTGAGCAAGTACGTGTAAACACAAAGATAAGAGCGGCTCTGCAACACTCCTCTCTGATATGGGAAATTTCCATGGGAGAATATCAGGGTCAGTGACAGAACGACTCTTAACACATTCCTCACAAATTAAGCGTCAAAAGCATTCCCAACTGTCACAAGTTTTCGTTAAGATAGCGTTAAAGGAAAGAAATTAAATGTATTATTTATATAGGTATTTTATTTTTAGATGCTAAAGCCAATCATAATTGTATCTTCACATAATGTATTGCAATTTAAATGAGCAGAAAACATGGAAATTACAAAGAAGCATGTTTAATTTGAGGTCACCCGGGATGAGAAAAGCTTGGGAGCAGAAATGCTGCAGTTTGTGCATTGGTGCACAGGGAGGCAGTAAATATTTGCTGGAATTCCATTTGGAAAAATCCAGAAAAATGAATGGACTCACTTCTTGTGCTGCAGGTGCAAAATAATAATAATAATAATAAAATAAAAAAGTGTATTGGCAAAGCCATTATCAGACAATTATATATTATATTATATTGTATTATGTATAATGTATAATAACTTCTAATGTTTTGTCTTCTAATGTTGTAATTATTTAGCTTTTAATTTTTTTCCCGAATTGTTGTTCTGAACCCCAGAATTCATTTTCTATAGTTGCACTGTACAAATGAGTCACATGCCAGTAACTGACAATGAGGATCTGATCTACATGTCCTGCTATTTATATTCACAGTAAACAAACTTAATAAAACCATTAAGATGTCATTCACCTCCAGAGCTCTATTGTGCTCTTGTGTGTTGCTAAGGAATATCCTTCCCTTGGTAACAAAAAGTAACATAACGTGATGAGGGGGGGAAATCGATCCGTTGAAATTGAAATTGTGCTGCAGCAGTTCTCACTCTGACACATAGCACTACAGTGACACTGCAAGCTGAGGAAACACATCTTATTTTTGTATAGGGTCATGGTTATGCCTTTAAATGTGGCATAAGTGTCCCATACTGTCCACTGCATATACTCTACCGCTCAAAAGTTTGGCGCCAGAAGGATTTTTTAATGTTTTTGAAAGAAATTTCTGATGCTTATCAAGGCTGCATTTATTTGATCAAAAATAACTTTTCTATTTTAAAGTCCCCGTGAACCGGAAGTTGCAAACGACTTTTTTTCCAGTGTTGTGACGTATTTCCGAGAGAAACGGAATACTAAATGAGGCAAAATAGTGGGCGTGGCTTTTTTTCCCAACTAGCACCTGATTGGATCTAGAAAAGTAGGTGTTTTCATTCAGCCTGTCTACTGTCAGTTGGAGGGGCGTGGTTACGGATGTTAAGACACCCATACCGTCAAACCTATGTCATCAGGGAAGGTCCTCCAATGCAAAGAGGAGGGGAAATTTCAGATTTTGATTAAAGATTACGAAGCCAAAAAAAAATGTTTTGTGTGGATTGACTTGCATGGATGAACTGTTCACCACAAAACGATCAATTTAGGCAAACAAAGTAAGTATGGTCAATTTTGAATTCATGGGGACTTTAAATGTAATTTATTCCTGTGATCAAAGCTGAATTTTCAGCATCATTACACCAGTCTTCAGTGTCACATGATCCTTCAGAAATCAGACTCATATGCTGATTTGGTGCTCAAAAAACATTTATTACAATTATCAATGTTGACAACAGTTGTCCTGCTTAATATTTTTGTGGAAACCACGATACATTTTTTTAAAATAAAATAAAATTAACTAACATCATTTGTTTGAAATGAAATGAATTTCTTTACTGTCACTTATCATTGATCAGTTTAATGGTCCTTGCTAAATAAAAGGATTCATTTCTTTTAAAAAAAAACTTTTAAACAGCAGTGTACGGAACTACGGAGCCCCTAAAGGGACATGGTGATGGGGAAAAAAAATATGAGATGGGCGGAAAAAAATATATTACAATGCCTTTGCGTTCGCTCAAAAAATGTTTGCGTTCCCTCGCAAAACCTTTGCCTTCCCCCGAGAAACTTTGCGTTCGCTCTCAAAAACCTTATGAGCTCTTTGCGGGCGAATGCAAAGTCTCTCGGCGGAACGCAATCGTTTTGCGAGGGAGCGTGAAGTTCCTCTGGGGAACGCAAAACATTTGCGATGGAACACAAAAGCATTGACAAATAATTTTTCCTCTATCTCATTTTTCTTTCCATCACCATGTCCCTTTAGGGGCTCCGTACTGACATTAGCACATCTTTCTGTTACTATCTAAATGACAATAGATTTAAATTCTCCTTAAATTGTACATTTTTATTTTCTTTCAATGCTAGCTTAACCCCCTCTGTTTCGCCTGACTTTGCCTTGACCCTGAACCGGATAAATTCTGATTTTAAAAAGTGTGCTGTTGGATGTTTTGCTCTTGTATTCTGCTCCACTAAGGCTAAAAGCCCTCTGTGGATGAGAGCCTGGAGAGGACAAACCTTGACCAGTGGAGCATGACAGTCATAGAGGCCTGTCTGGCTTAAGGGCACCTTCAGAAAGATGGCACTTTGTGCTGTGTCAGGATCAGGAGGTTGGCAGGCGGCTCAGCCGTCGGACGTAATGCCCATTCAACCATCTCAGCTCATTAAAGGAACTTATTTTCTTGAAAGATGAGTGAATAAATCACGCTGTGCAAGGGTGTCAACTTGAACAAGTTAATCAAGGGATGGTAGAAAAAAATCATGCATTGCAACCTACGAGCTCAATAACCTGCATGGATGTAGTGCTTTCAGAAACCCTGCCTGTACTGTATAAAAAAATAAAAAAAAATTATATAATCAGTTATGAATCATCAACATAATTTGTTCACTTTTTCTATATTTAACATTTTTTTATTTAATATGCAAATACATATGCATGATATGATTTTTAAAAATGATACTATATAGGCTTTTAATAACGTTTTAAGTTTCTTGGCTCATCTAGATGTTTCTCTTTCCTACACCTCCACATTACGCAGGTCTCTTCATCACAATATGCCTCGTGTTCACAGTTACACGTTTATATTATGTGTGCTATGAGGGTTATTTTAAGCACAAGAGGAAAACAAAAGCCATTATGAAACACAGTGAGCAATAAGACAATACCTCTCATAGTTATTAATTCATGAGGTCATATGTGTCAAAATAAAGTAGATACATTTTTTTTACATAAGGGTAGTTAATCATAATGTCCATGGGTCAAGATTTTAGGTTAATATATTCGGACCTAATTCGGATCCCCATTAGCTTCCACAAAGTGGTTGCTAATCTTCCTGTGGTCCACACAGCCATACAAGACACAAATATACAGATAAAATAAAACCAAGAAATAATTACACTAATGATACTTGATTACCTTATAAAAATAGACCAGCAGTCGTAAATGTAGTTTATCCTTCACTAACAGCCATTATAACTTTCTATGCATATCAATAACATTGGCCTGAAATGGATAATGAAGCACTAACCAAGCTGCTCTGTTCTGAGACCCCTGAAGTTTTTTCTCAGATGCACTTGACCATATCATTGGGCAGTACTCAAGATGTGATAAAACGAACGATTGCGCCACATCTTTTAATACCAAAGATGGAAGAAACACAGAACATTTCCTGGCCACAGCTATACTTTTTCCCATATTGTTTACTGTATAATCTATATGTTCAGACCAAGACAGCATACAATCAAGTTTCACGCCCAGCAACTTACTTGTTCCACTGGAGTTCCATCAATGAATAAATTCAAGTCATCAACCATAGTAATATTATTTTTGTTACCAAAAATGATACATTTGGTTTTTTCTATGTTTAAAATGTATTTATTAGTTCTAACCCAGTTCGTAATTGTCTGCAACTCCTCACTTGAGTTGTTCTGAAGCTCAGTCGATGTATGTGCTGCAGTGAACATTGTCGAGTCATCTGCATACATAACTAAATTAGCATTATCAACAACACATGGGTAAATCATTTATAAAAATAGAAAATAAAAGTGGACCTAAACAACTTCCCTGTGGAACACAGCAGTAAGTATTTTTGGTCTCGGAAAAAGATCCATTATAAAATACATTCTGTTTCTTATTAGAAAGATAACTTCCGATCCAGTCAAGGGCTGTACATGAAAAACCATAACATTTCAGTTTGGCAACAAGAATATCATGGTCAATAACATCAAAAGCTGCTGTAAAATCTAAAAGAACAGAACCCACCAGTTTCTTATCATCTAGACATGTAACCATTCATCTGTCATGTGCATAAGAGCAGTACAAGTAGAGTGCCTGCATGGTCTATAAGCATGTTGTGCATTAGCAAGCAATCCATTTATACTAAAATAATGTAAAAATTGCTTAAAAGTAATCTTCTCTAAAATCTTACACAAAATAGGAAGTATACTAATATACTAATACTAATACTATTGACTATAGATTTATATTAATTTAATCAATTATAAATAATTTGTATTATAAAACAGTGAGTTTCAATCCTGGCTTCTGATTGGTCAATACAGCATTCCGGAATTGAAAATGAAGTTCCAACTAAGATATATGACACACCTGTCAACCATATCAATGGATAATTTATTACCATTAACAAATTGACCAAAAAAAAAAAATTGTTGGTAAGATTTATTTGACTTTTTTTAATAAAAAAAAAATTCTGACTTCAATATTCAATACTGAAAGTTTTTGCAGTATTTTATCTTTTAAAAGGAAAAATGTTCCATGCGCTTTGTCAACTAATATGAAGTCTGCATAGTAATGATAAAATAATATATACATACATACATAAACACACACCTACTCAAATAGGATTTACAATGTGTGTGTGTGTGTGTGTGTGCGTTGTATATTGTCTCATCGACTACCTATAAATGATTTTTCTCTTCAGTTCTTTTCATTATTTTGATGTGCAATGGCACGTGAAACACTATATGATGTGTAAGTGTGTGCGATCACTGTGGCGTGTGTGTGCACAGAAAAGCGATGTATTTGG